ATTTATAAAAGAAAACAAGTCTATATGTTACACAAGCTGTCAACCATTTCCTACATAGTGTCTATAAGATATTCAAAAACATTGCCTTTACTTTCTTTTCATTTTCTAAACTTTGGCAATATATCTTGCAAAAATAAATAATTTTGATGTTTAAAAAAATACAAATTAATGTTGATACAAATTTCTTAGTGTCTTAATAACTCTGCATATAACAATGAAAATTAACATGCAAATTTCATAAACAGGTTTTAGATGTTTAGGGGCCGTGTTTTTAACATTTGACGGTCACATCCGCAAGTTAGAAAATAATGTGAAAATAATTTATGTATAAGTCCAGAGCTCCAGATAATTTTTTTGGCCAAGGGGTTTTTACCCCTCAAAATTTAGAGTGAGGGGTAAAATGCAAATTCTGAAAAACTTAAGGGGTAAAATCTGTCAAAAAAAGCATTTGGCATTTTTTATAAACAAATTAAACTTTTTGTTTTGTTTGTTTATTTTCTTTTTTTAGAAAAACCTTTACAAATTAAATACTGATTTAATGTGAAACAATACAAAACATGCCATGTAAAATCAGACTTCCAGAGTATACTGGAACTCAAGTTTAGGATACACGGCAAAATTATCAGGGCTTCCATTTTCAAAATTTGGAAGTCAAAGACTTCAAAATCTCTGATATTGGTAGTCACATTATATAAAGGTAAAGAAGGAAAAGTATTGATTTTCGGAAGTCACGGGCCACAATGAAGGAGTAAATGACTCCCAAACTTCCGCTAGTGGAAGCCCTGAAATTATTTTATTTTCTAGGAGTCAATATTTTTCTTTCTTTATTTCTGTTGGCATGTACCTTATCATGTACTCCAGTTTGAACAATTATAGTTGAAATTAGAATAAAAGAAACATAAACAAGATTTTTTTTATCTTTCCTTAAAAAAGTATTGGTCTGAGAGAAAATTGCCCGTAACTGTAGACTGGGTACGAAAATGAGTACAAAACTGCAGTTGAAAAACATGTTATTTTGTTCCAACAACAAAAGTTATAGAAATTAAAATATATTTTTGTTTATATTGAGGCATAAGCATGTCAATAGATGACTAAACAAACTAAATACTGTGTTAGCTCCTACGATGATTATCTGGCACAAATTTCATCAATAATTTCACAGGTTGATCTACGGAAGTTACCTCCCTTCTGTATATCCTGCTACTTTCGTTTTTAACATGCGTTGTTGACTACAGAATTTTTAGTTTTCAATGCAATAAAATGGAAATATATTGTATTTTTATGCTCAAAACATTTTCTTTCTACATATCAAATGTTTACACTTCTATTCTTTCACGCATAAATTTTGACATACGAGCGTATTTTCATTTTGTTGTGCGTAACTGTGACGCACAAATTTTGAAACTTATGCGTATTTTAGATTTTCTATGCGTATTTTACGCTTATACGCACGCTATCTGGAGCTCTGTAAGTCCCCAAAATGGACCTTATCTCAAAAATTTTCCTCTGTTAATTGAAATTCACATTCAGTATATAAAAAATAGTACTTGCATTTTGGGTTGTTAATGTAAGACATATAGGAAATAGTTGACAGTCTAAGAAAGTATTCTAAAAGTTAACCCAACTATGATCTATAAATTCTATTATCAAACTTAGTTTCTTCAGGCTACAGTTTCAAAACTGCAGATCACTTTCTATAGAAAATAAATTCTACTCTTGTTTTGAGTTTGTTTTTTCTTTGTATAAATAAAAAATTTACATAATCTAAAATAATTTTGCAAATTAGGATTATAAAATTTCAAGAATGTTTCACAGATTGTAAGAAAGAAATGATCCACAGTTCTACAAAATTTTCAAACTCTAAACACTTCATGACCCTAATTCACAAATTTCAAAAATTAATATAAAATTCAGTGTATTTGGACTAGTTTGTAATACAAATTAAGGGGTGTCAGTAACAAAATCATACAGATTAAATGTTATAACATTTTGTTACTAAAAATAGACCAAATACTCAGCAGCAGAATATCAATATTGATAAATTAACTTCATATATTTTCTATGATATCAATATTATAATGTATCCCATAACATATGTATATGACATTATTGACTTTTTATTAAAGGAATTGATCAACATGAATGGTTTATACTAATCTGCAAATCTCTTTAGTTTATCTTATACTGATTATAATTCATCACAATATAAATTACAAAAGAACGTAATGGCATCCCCATATTGCACAGCCATAGTTGAGTGGCTACATTTTTCATGTATCTGACATCAAATACATGCATATGTTTTGTGATGACAAGAGAGCTTGGCAATAACTAATATACAATATATAGATGGATTGTGAGGTAATTTTTCATTGTTTTGATTGATACTAAGGGTTACTGGTAACTTTTTGATAAAACAAAGAAGTTTAGGACCTATTGTCGTTTAATATAGAATTAAATTGTTGTGAAAATCATAGAAATCTGTTCCAACAGGGATTTTTCCCTCAAACTGGCTCACTTTCGGTCATTTGCTTAAAAAATTTTTCTTTAAAAAAGCCAGGCATTTTTTTTGTTTTGTGTTTTGCCCCTTGAAATTTAAAATTAATTGGGTTTTTGGTTAACTGGGGAAAAAAATATGATTTAGGGGCCCTATCTTTTTTTATTACATTAGGGTTTGACTAGTTTGGAAAAGGGGCACACTTTCTAAGCCAAGCCCTCAGCTTAGGCTAACAATCCTTCCATAATAAATGGGGAATTTAAAAGGGGGGTAAACCTTTTTGGGGTTCCCCTTTTACAGTAAGATAAGAAAAAAAAAGTGTAATTAAATTTTTAAAACCCCTTAGCATATTTACTGGGAACTAAAAAAATGTAATTATAAATCTTAAAAAAAACCCAACCTGATCTCTCCTTTTTTTTGCAAAACCCCGACGTTTTTCTTGGGCAAATATTTTTTTCCGAATCTCGTTTTAAAGCTTTTAAGGGTTCTCGTTTTTCTGTTTACGCTGCCCGGGCAACTTTTAATTTTGTAAATTTTCTTAAAAACCTGAAAATAAAAAGGAAAATTTTAATTGAAATCAGGGTTAAAACCCGAACATATTCCTTTTTGTTAAAAGCAAATTGATTTTCATTTTTAGAAAAACCAAATAAAAAGGTTTTGTAAAAACATAATTTTTTTATCAAACCCTTTTTAACCACAAAAAACATTCCTAAACCAAAATGAGCTCATTAAACAAAAAATTTTTTTTTAAAAATTTTTGAAACCCCCACCCTAAAAAATTTTTTTTTTTCTTTTTAAAACATTATCCATCTTTATTTTTAAAAAAAATTTGGGTTTTTTAAGGGAAAAAATTTTTAAAAAAGGAAAAAATTTTCATAATGAGAAGCACAAATGATTTATTATTCTCAAACTGAACAAAAAAATAATCAACTGTTATATACAGTTAATCACAAGATGCTAAATATCTGAAGTCATTGTACAATGATATTATACACAAATTTATTTATAAATTCGTGCATTTTGAAATCTCAATGAAAATTACCTGAGACTTTATTGTACTTGATATTGCAACATCTAATTGTTTAAGGCCCTATTAGGCCACAGAAAATTAATTTTTAGACTCTCATCCTCGCCCGCCAGTATCAAAATCTTTCCGCTCCAAAATAATTTATTTTCATAAAAAAAAATTGTTCATTTCGCAGACGACTGTGGACGAAAATTCGTCCGAAAATCGTGGTCGAATATTTGCGGGACGAACGCATAAAAATCAGACTGAGGTTTTACAATGTTTTAGTGATCAAGATTTAAAATACGTTCGTTTTCGATCAGTAAAATTGTCAAATGTTCGTCATAAATGTGAAATATATGATGCAGTACACAAGAAAACTGTTTGTGATTGGTTTGGGTTTAGTTTTGATCAAAATCTGGGTGGAAATGATGCGACATTCATCAATATATTTGAAAAATATAGATTTAAACACTTTTGTTTATTCATACATTTCTGTTTTTTCAGGTCTTAAAAGTGATGGATAAAATAAATTATAAATTCCACCCACCCGCCCCAATTATTTCTTGAAACCTGGATGAGAGTATAAAGATTAATTTTCTATGGCCTTATCTATTTAACATAATTTGAGCCGCGTCACGACAAAACCAACACAATGGGTTTGTAACCAGCATGGATCCATGCTGTTCGCTTACAAACTCTATAACAAGTAGAGAAACTGATAGCGAACAGCATGGATCCTGATCAGACTGTGCGGATGCTCAGGCTGGTCTGGATCCATGCTGGTCGCAAACCCATTATGTTGGTTTTGTCGTGACGCGGCTCTTTTTTTCTAAAAATTCATTCAATTTGGGAAATTTAAAAATATGCCCAAAGTATACACTATTAAATATTTGGTATGAAAACGTAGGATCTTTTTAAACACAACTTACTTCTGTTAAAGTTATTCTTATTTTGAATTTTTAAATTTTTAAAAAATCGGGCTTTCTCTTTTTAAAAATTAATTTGTAACAAAAAAAAAAAGGGGTACTTTTAAATTTTAAATTTTTAAATTTTCGTTTGTTTTGATTCTTTGTGTAAATTTCAAGTTCTTTTAACACAAATATTTTGTTGCCCAAGTCACAGAAAAAAAAGGGAAACCCACTAACCCCAGCCTTAAAAAGCCTATATTTTTTCGGGCTTTTAAAAACACTAAGCTTGGGGGTGAGTTACACAAGCATGTAATACTTCCGATCACTGTACCTTTCTTGAGAGCCTATGAATTTTTACTTGAACCTTTCTTGCAATTACAGGAAGCACAATTGCTTATATACTGTGAATGTTCTGACAATGTGTTTACAATGAACAGATCTTTATGCCTATGCACATGTATGTATTCAAAACATCATAAACTCTACAATTCACCATGGTTACATTTGCATTAGTTCTTAAATTTATAATTCATAATTAGCAAAGAGATGCAGAGTTTCAGTCACAGCATTTGGGTAGAAACTTTCAACAAATCAAAAATACCTGAGTAACGTCTTTCAGCAGTCTCTCTTGTTTCGAGCGTCGTGATTCACTGTCTTTGATCTCACGCCTGATGGCACTAAGTTTCTCCGTAGCTTTTATAAGTTCTATACCAGCAACATTAGCTCTCTTCTCAAGCTCTGACGTTTCTTTTACAGTACTTTCTAGTCCTACTGATGCCTTGTCATATTCTCTAACAGTTTCTCTCGCCTGTAGGAAAAAAATAGAATATAGAGGTATCGTTCTTTACAAATCTTATTGCCATGTTATGTTGGAAAGTAATTTTAGTCATATTGACATAAAAACTACATGCATATAATTGGGGATAAGGTGTTTGTCTCTTGACCCACAGATCATAGATTCAAGTCCTACATGAGTCACAACCTAAGGCCTTGTTTCCTCTTATTTTAAAAATCAAAAGATATGTTCAATCTCAATTATCAAGATAATGAAACCAAAAGAGGTAGTAGGACAGAAATCAAAGGTCAATCACTTTAGTTCATGGATGAATGTTCGTTAGAATGAAGTTTCCTTCATTTATTCAATTATCTTTTTTGACTCAAAATCAATAAATTTTCATAAATTTTAAAACAGATTTTTATATCAATCTTATCAATTAGTGATATATAATTTTATACACATTGATTCAAACATTCTTATATACTCTTTAAACATATTCTTAACCATTCTAGTCAGATTTAATATTTGTGACAACAAAACAAAATTCAGCAAAAAATGTTCTTCATTAGAACACCATAACACAAATACTAAAGTAATTTTACTAAACTATTTCTTAATCAGACTGGGGATAATACAGGTTATGCTGACTACACCAGTGACATAGGCCTTTCATTTTATTATAAACCGTAAAACCTAGAGTAAATAGTTACCTCCTCTCTAGCACACTTCAAGTCTGTATTACACTCCTTCAGTAATCTATCAGCCTCGCGTAACTGAGCTTTTCTCTTGGCTAGCGTTTCTTCTAAGCACCGAATCTCATCTTTAATCATCTTTTTACGAGAGTTCTCCATTCTCTCATCAAAACTGTCCTCATCGTCCGGATATACACGCACTTTTCTGAAAATTGAAGTTGTATTTCTCTACACTTTTCCCCCCAGTAACTTGCATAACATAATGTTACGACGCACCAACATAGTAGCAGTCATATGGCCACTTTCTAGCTTAACTGGTGGAGGAAGACATCAGAATGATGCCCCTGCACACATTATTTGAGGCACAAACAGGCATCAGAGTAGAACCAGCTAAATTCCTTATGCTAGCTTCCTCACATGAAAGAATACAATCAATTAGAGACTCTGACGAGATTGGAACCCACAATGGTGAGGAACATGTGGTTTGAAAGCTCTAAAAAAATGTTCAGAGTAGTTTTAATGTTAATATTTTTCTACATATTATAACAAGAATTTGTAACAGAGTTACCAACGTCCCCCGCCCCGGAAGTTTTATATGAAGCATAAAATTGCTATTTCAAAAAATTGAGGTATGGATCTCAGGACATTCAGTCCAAAATTATGATCAATGCTAGATCTGCAAATGTAACAATAAATTTGTTAAAAAAATAAAATGAAACACGGAATTTAAAAATCTATCATGTTAAGCTTTGACCTCTAAGTGTGACCTTGACCTTGGAGGTAGGGGAGCAGGTGTTGTGGCATGACATAACGTCTTATTATTGAGACTATTTGTGCCAAGTATTTTTCAAAATCCCTTTTGAAAGTCTATGAAGAAGTTATAGATTGGACACCAAAATATACCCTATAACAGACTACGTAAATCTTTGACCTCTAAGTGTGACCTTGACCTTGAAGGTAGGGGACACAGATGTTACACATGACATATCATCTAATCATTGTGACTATTTGTGCCAAGTACTTTCAAAAATCCCTTAATCTATGAAAGAAGTAATGGACGAGACAAAAAATATTACCAAATAACAAGACTCTTGTTAACCTTTGACCTCTAAGTGTGACCTTGACCTTAAGAGGGTAGGGGTGCAGGTGTTGTACCTGACATATCGGCTTATTATTGTGACTATTTGTGCCAATTATTCCAAAATCCCTTGTAAACTATGAAAGAAGTTCTAGATTTCGACACAAAATATACCCTATAAACAGACTATGTTAATTTTTCCCTCTAAGTGTGACCTTGACCTTGGAGGTAGGAATGCAGGTGTTGCGCATGACACATCCTCTTATTATAATGACTATTGTGCGAAGTATTTTTCAAAATCCTTTGATCTATGAAAAAGTTATAGACCTGACACAAAAATATACCCTGTAACAGACTATGTAAGTATTTGACCTCCAAGTGTGACCTTGACTTTGGAGGTAGGTGACCGGTTTTTGTGCATGACACATCATCTGATTATTATGAACAATTATGGCAAGTATTTACAAAATCCCTTCATAGATAAGAAAGTTATGGACCGGACACGACATACATGTATACCCTCAAATAGACAATCCAAGTGTGACCTTGACTTTGGAGGTAGGTGACCGGTTTTTGTGCATGACACATCATCTGATTATTATGAACAATTTATTGGCAAGTATTTACAAAATCCCTTCATAGATAAGAAAGTTATGGACCGGACACGACATACATGTATACCCTCAAATAGACAATGTTGACCTTGAATGTGCAAGTACGACCTTGACTCGCAGGTAGGGGTCTGGTTGTTGCGCATGACACATCGTCTTATTATAACAAACATTTGTGCCAAGTCAATTCAAATTCCTTTCATAAATGACAAAGTTATGGACCGGACACGAAATATACCCTGTAACAGACTATGTTAATATTTGACCTCCAAGTGTGACCTTGACCTTGAAGTTAGGTGACTGGTTTTTGCGCATGACACATCGTCTGATTATTGTGAACAATTATGGGCAAGTATTTACAAAATCCCTTCATAGATAAGAAAGTTATGGACTGGACACAACATATACCCTAAAATAGGCAATGTTGACCTTGAATGAGCAAGTGTGACCTTGACCCTGGAGGTAGGGGTCTGGTTGTTGCGCATGACACATCATCTTATTATAATAAACATTTGTGCCAAGTTATTTCAAATTCCTTTCATAAATGACAAAAGTTATGGACCGGACACGAAATATACCCTGTAACAGACTATGTTAATATTTGACCTCCAAGTGTGACCTTGACCTTGAAGGTAGGTGACTGGTTTTTGCGCATGGACACATTGTCTGATTATTGTGAACAATTATGGCAAGTATTTACAAAATCCCTTCATAGATAAGAAAGTTTATGGACCGGACACGACATATACCCTAAAATAGGCAATGTTGACCTTGAATGAGCAAGTGTGACCTTGACCCTGGAGGCAGGGGTCTGGTTGTTGCGCATGACACATCGTCTTATTATAATAAACATTTGTGCCAAGTTATTTCAAATTCCTTTCATAAATGACAAAGTTATGGACCGGACACGAAATATACCCTGTGTAAACAGACTATGTTAATATTTGACCTCCAAGTGTGACCTTGACCTTGAAGGTAGGTGACTGGTTTTTGCGCATAACACATCGTCTGATTATTGTGAACAATTATGGCAAGTATTTACAAAATCCCTTCATAGATAAGAAAGTTATGGACCGGACACGACATATACCCTAAAATAGGCAATGTTGACCTTGAATGAGCAAGTGTGACCTTGACCCTGGAGGTAGGGGTCTGGTTGTTGCGCATGACACATCGTCTTATTATAATAAACATTTGTGCCAAGTTATTTCAAATTCCTTTCATAAATGACAAAGTTATGGACCGGACACGAAAGTGTGACGGATGGACAGACGGACGTACTTAGCAGACGTGTTTGTAGGGTTATTCCTTTGATCTCTTAACCCCACAAGAGCAAATTTTTTTAACCCCATAAGAGCATTTTTAACCACATAATACATGTCTCTACGGAATGAACCCCATACAGAGTGCCTGTACATAAACCTAAACCTCATAATGTAGCTCTCGTCTGCTCGGACAGACGGACGAAGCCTATTTCTATATCCCCCTTTCTTCTTCGAAAAGGCGGGGAACTTTAATATTTTACTATATGACTAGGGCATAGAAGCCATCAAGTATATGTACCTTTTTCTTTTTACATTTTGGTCTCTCATAAATTCTAGTTCCTCTTTGGCAGTCTGCCTCTCAAAATGAAGTTGTTTTTCCTCTGCTTTCAGATTCTTTAAGTTCTTCTGCTGTCTCTCTATAGCCAGGTCCAAACCTTCTAACTCATCTCTTCTCTCCTGTATAATGTAATTAACGGATTAAACTCAATACAGTGTTAGGGCAATAACTCTAGATGCTGATTGGTACACTTTTTATTAATCATCGTATATAAATTGGTGTGAATGGATGAATTACATTTTAAAGTGTATTTCAGTAGGTGAAAAGGCGGGATTTCAGCATTTAATCTTTCAAACACATTGTCTAGTATATACCAGAATATGGTATGCAGTGGGATGCTCCATCACTTTTTTTTGTCTTGCTCAATCAGTCCATGTAAATAGAAAAAAATATCACTGAATATTTTCTTTTTCCATAACTAATATAGGCTTTTTTTTTCAATAAAAATTTTAAGCAAAATATATAACATTCATCACAAACAGCAAGAGAAGACACATTGAGAACAAAATAACAAGATTGCAGTTTTATACTGTAGAAAAAAAATAAATGTTCGATGTGCTTAATCATGTAATGGTCTCTCCCTGCAAGAGCTTTCACTACTAAAGAGACAGAAGGGTGTGGTGGATATGAGAATGACAGTGTCTCTTAATATGCCAGCTAGACAAAGTTTCCTCACACAGAGGAATTCAACATCCCTTGTGAATTTAACACTTAGATTTCACCTGTTGTCCATTTATGCCTTTTAGCATCATTTTGTTGATGAAAGTTGACCATAAAATACGGTAGTTACAAAAAATACTTATATAAACAGTAAATACTGACCAGCAATTCTCCTTTCAGACGTCTTATCAGGTTGTAATCATTTTCATCCTGAATGGCACCTTGAAGTTCCTACAATATGAAAACCAGAAGTGAAAACCAACATTTCAAAAGAGCAGTGACAGGGCATTTGGAAATTCAAAACTGATTAAAGCTGTAACATCAAGCAGAACTTTTGGTTCATTTAATAGTTCAGGATGGGTCATAATACGGATTTTGTGGTAGAGTGGCTGTGATTCCTGTCCCTAACCCTCCTGTGTAAGATGGGTTAGGCCCATTGGGGTAGGAATTTATATGTCATACAGTGGACCTACACATAATTTAAGGCCCAAAGGGTTAGGGACAGGAGCATTACTACACGGTGGCTCTGCAGAGCCACAGATAACTTAAAACACCTATTGTGAGAGTTAAGTGAAAACTGATGTAATTATCAAAACATAAAAAAGTACTTCATCAATCATAACCATACAAACATATGCTTTGACAATTAATTTACCTTTTCATTGGCAATTCTGGCTTTTAATTTCTTCAGTTTTTCTTGAAGTTCTGCAATATAGTCCTCCTGTAAACAAACGGAAAAAATTAATCTATCATTATTAAATTAGAACAGACCCAATTTATAAGTCCTAACAAATAGTTGTTTAGCCCTCAAAATAGGTCAGTCTGTTTGTTTGTCTGACTCTTAAGCTAATTACAACACATATTTGGTCATATCTCTGCTTTGGTGCACCTAACTGGCTTTCCTAGATAACTAACCAGTAATTATAAACTTTCCGGAAGTGACCAGAACTCCTAATTCCACATAACTTTGATTCAGCAATGAAATTGTAATGACCATAAGAGTCAATGTCCAAGGTCAACTGTCACTAGGAAATTTCACTTACAGCCCAATCAGCAACACTTACAACAATGAGAACATTTGAGGTGAAACAATGTCTTCCATCAGGTTAAAATGCCTTATATCATGAACTCCTAAATAATATATCAATAGATGTTGTTTTTTTTAAAAAGCTATAATGCAAAAACTTAAATAATATATAAAATAATTTGCCATTATACAGGGCTAATGTGCACCGTTAAAATTTTATACTGTGTGACATGGATGTTGTTTCAATGAGACATTTATAAACATTTGACTGATAACTATTACATGCTAACAAGATTTGATTTCATGATACATGTATGTGAAGCTGACACTAAATGATGGCTCTTATATTAAGATGATGCATTTTACAACATATTTTTCTATTCAACAAGGAGAAGACATTAATTTTAATAAAAAAAAAAGTTTAAATTTGTTAAAACAACTGCATTCATAAATATCAAATTCTGTAAGGATATACCTATGATATATATACTGTATAAATATAAGCAAGCACACAAATCATTAGAAATATAATATTTCATTAATTGAGATAAGAACATGCCTGTCAGCATGATTTTGTATTAAAAGAGTCAATTTACACAGACAAACAAATAATCTGATCTTAAATAACCAGTGTGAAATCTCATACAATTCAATGACAAGGATAACTACAGGGTATTTTTTTCATAATCGAACAATATCAATTGAATTGAATATTTTATCTTTACTGACACGCAGAAGATGCCATTTAGATTTGTACCTTGGTTTCAAATAATCAAATTACAGAGTTAATCAATTAGAAAACCAAAGATTTGGGGCTAAATAGATGTACCTGTATTGATATAATTGATAATAAAATATCCAAGCTGTGGTCTGATTTAGATAAAAGGGTGTCCAAAAATGAAGAAAAAATCTCTGATGTTAGAGAGGCAGTTGAAGCTCATGATTTTGATATTGAGAAAACAAAGGATGAAGTTCAAAGTTTGAAAAGCGAAAATAGACGCATAAAGGACGAAGTGGTTGACATGCAGGCTAAGGCTATGATGAAAATTTAATTATTGGTGGTATAGCTGAGAAACAGAACGAGACCATGGAACAGACTAAAGAATGTGTGTAATCGAGTATTTCAAGAAGGATTTGAAGATTCCGGATGAGGAAATTGGTGATATAAAAAACTAATTCAGTAAAACGTCTGGGTCCGAAAAAGAATGACAAACCGAGAAATATCCTAGTAGTATTTCAAGAGGTAAAAATGAAAGATTATGTAAAATCATTTAAGGACAATGTAGATTCGAAGGCGTCAGGGAAATATATGCACGATCAATATCCTCAAGAAATAGTAGAGCAGAGAAGAAAAGTTAATACCAATCATGTTGAAAGCTCGGAAAGCAAAGAAAGATGCATTTATAAAAGTACAATAAACTGTTTGTCGACGGGAAATTATACACTAACGGGGAGTTTGGTAAAGTTGCGTAGCAGTTTCATGGGGGTGATGTGAAAATTAGTATTTGGAAACTGTAATGGTCTTTCCGCTGATAAACAAGATAGTGATGAATTTTGCAAATTAATATCAAATCAGGATATTGTTTTTCCTGTTAGAATCTTGGACCAGTAAATATAGTAAAATCAATTTTAGAAGGTTACACAAACTTTAATTTCTACAGGAAATTTCAAAATAGAAGAGCTAAAAGGTGTAGTGGTGGTATAGTCTTATATGTTAAAAACGAATTAGAGCCGGGTATTGAGATAATAAGAAACCACCATGATACTATTATATGGATTAGACTTGATTGCAAACTTTTTTAAATTCGATTCGGATATATATTTTATGTGCAATATATCTATGGGGTGAAGATTCGCCTGCGTACGATGTTGTCAATTGTAATCTTTTTGACTTACTACAGACTGATATTAACGAATTTCAGGCGTTAGGAATGGTTTTTGGTCGGCGGGGATTTTTAATTCCCGTGTAGGCTCGAAACCTGATTATATTGTGAACGATCGTATAACTCGATCATCGATAACGAAGAGTACATACCAGATGAACCTATTCCAAGGACAAATTCTGACAAAGTGTTTAACAATTATGGCATACAACTACTTGATTTATGTAAAGCTACTGGGCTACGCATTTGCAATGGGCGTTTAGATAAGGGTTCCTTCACATATTACGGACACAATGGTTGTTCAACAATTGATTATTTACTGTGTCACCAGGCTAACTTGGGGCGAATTGGTACATTCGGCACAAGTGATTTTACCATGTTTTCAGATCATGCTATGTTACAGTTCAGCATCATCGCACTTATGTATAAAGAACCGGAAGTTGAAAATGAATATAGTCATTCCAGAATAAAGTGGAATTCTCAAAACGGGATGCCTTTAGAAGCAATATTATAGTGTCACTTCCACATTTTAACGCATTTATTTGAAAAATAGAACCGGAAATGATAAAGCACATGTGAATGAAACTGTCACAGGATTTACACGTTTAATAAATAGTGCGTCAGCGCCGTTGTTTGAAACACGTTCAAATCATAACAAGGTGAAACATAAATTTGCACAAAATCGCATTTAAAATCATCAGAATGGTTCGATAATGAATGTGTGAATAAAACGGAGGATATATTTAAAAGCACTAGAAGTTTTCAACTTAGATAAATGTAATGAAAATAGGAATCAGTTATTAACTTTTAAACGGGAATATAAGCGACTCGTAAATCGTAAGAAAACTAGCTTATAAAAGCACGGAAATCAAAGGAGATAGAAGGTTTGCGCAAGAAAAAGCCTCGAGACTTTTGGAAGTACTTTTTGAAAAACGAAGGATGCGCGGAAATTCCTTGTCTACAAGTGATTTCTACCAGTATTTTAAAAACCTGAGTAATGAAATTAATATCACAACTGATGTTGAAAGCGAACGGTTTGCGTCGGAAGACATTAATGCGGATAATCCTATCTTCTCAGAATTAGATAATACTATATCAGAGACAGAAGTTTTAGCGGCTTTGAAAACCTTAAAACGTGGAAAGGCAGGCTCTACTGATAACTTAATCAATGAATTGTTAATTGAATCTGGGGATATATTAATAGGCCATTTAACAGATCTTTTTAATCTCATATTTGATACCGGTGTTTTCCCGGAAAAATGGTCGGAAGGTATAATTATCCCATTATTTAAAAAAGGAAACGAAAATGATGTGAACAATTATCGTGGAATAACATTGATCAGTGTCCTAGCAAAGCTGATTTACATCTGTGTTAAATAAGCGTTTAACTCGAATGGTGTGAAAAAAATAATATTATTTCCGACGCTCAGTTTGGATTTAAAAAAGGTTTTTCCACAGTCGATGCTATATTTTGTTTAAACGGATTAATAGAGAAAAATTTCTTGGAAATGGCTCTCGTTTGTATGCTGCGTTCATTGATATGAGCAAATGTTTCGACAGCGTTTATAGGAACGCGTTATGGTACAAAATGTTTAACCTTGGAATTTCTGGAAAAATGTTACGTGTAGTGAGGTCGATGTATGAGCACGTGAAAAGTCAAGTACGTCACTGTAATACGTTTTCTGAATTCATTGAAGTAGCGTAGGCCTAAAGCAAGGAGAAATATGTTCGCCTTTGCTGTGGTCAATTTTCATCGAAGATTTAGAATTGTATTTAGGTTCAAATATTGATAGTAGTGTAAATATAGCAGACTTGACACTTATATTGCTTTTATACGCTGATGATATGATTCTACTGTCTGAAACAGTGCAGGGTTTGCAGTCACATTTAGACAATCTACGAATTTACTGTGATCGTTGGGGTTTAAAGGTTAATGAAGAGAAAACAAAAATAATGGTAGTTTTAGACGAAGAGGTGCGTTGAGAGACGATGAGAAATGGGAGTATAACGGGGAAAACGTTGGATATTGTAGATACATTTAATTATTCTTGGAACTGTATTGTGGTTCAAATGGAAATTTTAACTGTAATCAACAATTGTTAATTGGTAAAGCAATGAAAGCTATGAATTTGTTTAAACTATAATATCAGTGAATTTGATTTTACTCTTAAAGTTCAATGTCAGCTGTTTGACTCATTTGTAACATCTATATTAAGTTATGCAGCAGAAGTGTGGGTAATTCAAAAGCTAAAGAAATTGAACGAGTGCAGTTAAAGTTTTGTAAAAGACTTCTTAATGTTAAAATGTCAGTAAGTAATGTGTCTGTATATGGAGAGCTAGGGCGCTATCCGCTTTTTATATAAATCGTTTTGTTAAGATATTCAAGTTTCTGGATAAAAGTTTTAAATTCCGATAATTGTATCGTTAAAAACGTTTATATTAAGGGAGCTGCTTAATGATGGCTATTCATGGTAAAAAGAACTGGGCATATAAGTTAAAAGTTTTATTAGAAAACTATGGATATGGATATTCTTTGGGAAATACAGGACAGTATTATTGACGGTTAAAAGTTTGATTCCGTGTTTTAAACAAAGAGTGATTGACTGTTTTCTTCAGGAATGGAGAAGTGATATCGATAGCAAACCTGTATTATTGGGTATATAAACATGTTAAAGAGAATTTCGAATATGAACCTTATTTAGACTTGTTGACAAAAATCACAGAGGACTTTTCATAACAAGAATGAGAACATCTGCGCACTGTTTACGCATAGAAACCGGACGTTATGGGAAATAATAGAATAGACAGAGAATATAGACTGTGTCAAATTTGTGAAAATGGCGAGATAGAGGACGAATATCACTTTATGCTTAAATGTGCGAGATACAGAGTCATTAGAAAACGATATATTAAATGAATACTCTTTTTCACTACGACCAAGTATGTTTAAGCTAATTGAACTGCTAAAGATCTGTGAATCACAAGACAGATGACAAATTTTGGTGATGTTCATCAAATGTGCACTTAAAATTCGAGAAAACATGCTACGACAAAATGACTTTTTCATAAACTGCTCTATATTAAAATTTATTGCCGACTTGTTTAATGAGTTAATTAATTTGCTTGTCAACACATACCTTCATTTACGTAAATAATATTAATATTCATATTAATTTTATTATTTATTTGACATGACCTTTATATGTAATGCATGTATAGATGATAAACTATGTTTAAATCTAAAATCTAATAAACAATATGTTCAATATGTTCTATAAAAGAAATAGATAATAAATTATAGATGTATAAAGAGACGCCTTGCCTTAAGCCTTACCCATTAAATGTTCAATAAAATCTTTGATAACAAAACCAAATTTTATGATATAATTAAGGTATTTAGACAACTAATATATCAACTAGCCTAAGGAGTTAATTTTAAAACTTGTCTATAATAAGCTTACTTCTTTATTAGATTGATCTATTGTCGAACAGATAATGATTTTTACCTTATTTAATATAGTTGACACACTGCATAATTTATTCTTAATCAAATTAGTTTATTAGAAAGTGTGCATTACTTCTAACTTCATTGGCCTACAAGCAAAACCTCTTAGGATTTGTTTGTTTGTTTTATTTTACGCCTTTTTCCAACAGTATTTCAGTCATATAGGCGGGTAGTTTCCTTATTATCATTCCTGGAGAGTTACACCAGTACTAGACTACCTTACTCCGCGCTTAACTACCAAAGTATCTCCCGGGGATCGAACCCATGCCAGAGAGGTAACAGGATTAGAAGTCATCGACTCTAACCCCTCGACCACGGAGGCAGTATTACCTCTTAGGATATTATGTTCATAGCTAATTAGCGCTAGGGGTTTATGAAACATAATATATTCATCAATTAATGTATGGGCCTTGTTCAATCTTTAATTTCAGATAATATCTGTAGAGAATTAAAGATAAAGAAAATTAAAGATAAAATCTTACTTGAACTAATGATTATAGAGGGCATCTGTACATGATTGTACATAGCAGAATTTTATCTTGCATGGAGATTGAAATGTAACCCCATGGTATCAAATATTTTTGACCAAGTGTTAAATATATCCAATGTGTTGATTTTATTTTGATATATTGTTTTCAATAAGACTTTCAGATATTAGGCAATATTTACATAAAACTTGAAACCCTGAGTATTATAGTTTAGTTCAAGTGTATAGGTAAACATATAGCTGTAATTTTAACATTCTATATCTGCTGAACATCAATTTGTTTCTATATTTTTTTCCATTTTTTTCCAATTCAATGAAATAAAACACTTATAAATCATTGTAAGATAGCATACAGGTTTGTACAGGTTTGTGTGACAATGTAGATATTTTTGAAAGGGTCATAATATTTACAATGTCCAGATCTATCTAATGACTGTATTGACAATGTTTTTTAAAACTTTAATCTCCTCCATATGAACTTTGAAAAATCAACAGAAAGCTACTTATTGGGTTATTATACATAGATATTATACAAACATTTTAAACATAAGTGGTCAGTAATGGTCAATTAGTAAGACAGACACATCAGAATCATGATGTCCTGAATTCAAGTGCTATCAAAGCAACCATTAAGTGCTAATTTCCTCGAGCAGGAAACTTACCTTGTATTGCTCTACTTCAGCATGAACGAGGTGTACAAGAGAAGTTGGCACAATGTAGAGCAATATTGTTAATATTGTCACTAACATAATGAAAAACTTCTCATAGAGATTTATAGATAGAAGCTATTAATTAATGCCTAGTTTTAAAACTAATAAGGCAGTGAAAATTTACTTAGCATGGAGCTATAAAAAAAGGAATTGAAGTCTACTATTAGTTTAATTCATACCAAGAGGCAAAAAAAAGGAAATATTCTCAAGTAAACTTTGTTTCAAATGACATCCAAACCAACAGGCAAGAATCTGACGAGTGATAGTAAACCTAGCAGCTTTCTTCTCCTCTCCATCAATTTAAGACATCTTTATGAAAACATAGTTTTATTGAGGTCAACAGACTTGTATCTAATTAATCAGTACTATATAATGAAAGTGCCAATGCTAAACTCTTAAGAATATTGTAGCATTAAAATATGCCACTTTAACACTAAACATGCTATAACACTACTAATTAACCTGAAGGGATTAGACTTGTTACAAGTATACAGCCAGACCAGCGTGCATATCTGTGACTCTATACGGTTCTTAACTCAATTTTTCTATTTTCTTATTGAAATCCTTTAAACTTTGAATGGACTGTTCCAAATTCATAGCTGGACAAATCCATTACAAAATTTCAACATATCAATGGTAAAGTATAAACAGTAAAGCAGTTGAGCTAATATTTACCAAATCATGGTGTTCTGGGACATTACAGAATAGGTAAGTGTCATCACCAGCACCGGCAGCTGGCTGTGCCATTCTTCTAGGTGACTGATCTCTACCTACAGCACCTATAAATATATGAAAATATCATCATTTATACTGGGTTTTCTTTATATTTGCTATTATACTACTTCACCATATATATTTCAATGGAAAGAACTACATCAAAGAAAATTGAATCTATGGTGGAATTCAAACCAACAGAGGAAAGGGGCAATAGTTTGAGCAACATCTAAATCCACTTCACTTATCATTGTTTGATATTAACAGAAAAACAAAATTATCAATGTAGTGCTATTTTTGTTATAATGGTCAGTTTAATTGTTCTTGTATGGCTGTTTACACTATTCATTTTACATTGATAGTGATAAAAGATTGAAACCTAATATTTGTATACTTTCAAGTCCATTTCCTGACAGTGAACCAGCACTGGTGTCATATGAAGAGACTAGGCTGTGCATTGCCAGGCAAGATGCCAGATACAGAAGATTGTAATTGTGATACAAACAAATCAGTTTACAAAAACCTGTATATTGACAACAGTATAAAATAATGAAATAGTTATAAATTTTGTTGTCATCAGTCTTGCTGTCAATTACTATGAAAGACATGACCTGCAGACTGTAATATATAATACAAATTTATAAAAATATAAAAGCAAGACTTGAATCCTAAATTACAGCCTATTCCTCGTGCATGGCTGAATTCCCATGTTGTAGATCTATGTACATATAGAACTTATAATGATGTAATATTATAATGTATTAAATCATTCTGATGTATTGTATTTATCTCAACACATTTATTTTTAAATTATTTAATGTATTTATATTATCATATTATTTATTGTTTAGACAAACTCTAAAATCTAATCCATTTTGATAATTTTATAATGTTTTATTTCATAATTCAATCATTCTCATCATAAATAGACCAAATTTCCCCGCTTTGGGTAAAATTAGTATCAAAAAAAAATCATATTACCATTTTATTTTTAAAAACTGGTTGAAAATAAAGTTTTTTAATAGTAAGATTTAACAAATAATTACTGTTAGAATAAAATTTCAAAAGTTTGCAAATCTGGCAATACAAGGGCATGCTAATATCTGCATCCGAATTTCATTTAAACAAACCAACAAGAGTTTGATGGTTAAATGAAATGTGGTTAAAACCCGAGAATGGCTCATACCATATATACATTTTCTTTGTAGAGAGGCAGACACTTTAACCACTTAAAGCTACAATCATGTAATACCCTCCTATATAATTATATTGAATTAAATAGATTATGACCTTGAAAAGAATAGATCAAAAGCAGTATAAGTGGATGATGAAGGTTTGTGTATAAGTTTATTTCAAATAGAACTAAATTGGAGGAAAATAAAACAAAAAATTTCTTACCTTGTCAATGCTATGTTTGCATTTAGAATTTACTTTTTAATATTCCTATGTACAAAACGTCAGTTAAGATACATTATAAAATCCCAGTAAGTTGCATGAATATCTTTTCACTTTATTAAACATTATCACCATGTAAAAATAATTTTAATCTGCTAATCACTAAACTTTTTCTTCATTAACTAATTCATTAAGGCAGAAATAAAGATGGCGACTTCTTTATATCAGTTATATTAACATCCTATAATCTAAAATATTCCATTTTGTATAAAAAAAACCCAAAAAACTCAAACACTTATGTTCCCCTCAGTACAACATTTATCCATAATTTTTTTTTTTAAGATATAAACAAGTTTTTACAACTTTTTCTTCACAAATATTTAAGAATTTACAAACTCAAAACCGGGGAAACAAACAGATTTTGAATGTTATCAACACCAGTTTGAGTTATAACAATACTTTAAGATTGTTTAAAATTTATGTTTGGATTTCAATATCTCAATTGACTAGCAAACAAAATCAGCAAGTTATTCAAACATACGATATTAATCCAAGCAATCAGACTACACACTATACACACACATTTCTTTCACATTCAATATATTATTCCGCTGCTTCAACAGGCAATATTTCAAACTCTGATAGTAAGAAAAAAAATGTATAGTAAATTCTATAGTGTAACTACAGAATATGCCAAGATAACCTTTTCATGTCACATTTCAATGGCTATTCATTCTGTTTTTTTATAAACATTGAATATTTAAACTCAAATACCCATATAAAAAGATCAATTCATAGATGTTTAATAGTATCGGAATAATAATCCTAATATAATACCAACATAATACAGTCGGCCCGCTTAATGTGGTCATGTGACCAAATCATGTTTTGACATGTTTTTTTATACCTCTATTTAGGTATATTAGTTATATACAGGTTATTTTAATTGCAGTAACATTTGACCTTTCAGTTATAAATTTATTCCCCGCCATATGGTTATAACAGATGATCTGGATTATGTTTTAACACATTTTTTTAAAGGCGTTAATCACACTAATTTGTTTGTTACCTATAATAGATTAGCACCTATACTATATGCAATTATTATATAACAATAGCTTGCGAACTTGACAGATGCATTCTTTCTTATTTCATCTTCAAAAAAAAAAAAAAAAAAATAAATAAAAAAATTAAAGAATATTTTAACAACTATTTCTAAAATACATTTAGTTATGGAAGAACTGTACAAAAATTATTGTAATCTTTAGGTATAATTAAACATTTAAATGCAAACATCTTGTCATAACACCAGAATAATATCATACAACCATATAAGTTAGATAGATAAATTTCTACAATTTATTATGATGATATTTTTTATAAGGGAAACACAAGTGATGTAAATTTCAAATAGTAAAATTTAAAACTAAAAAAGATTAACTGATTAGGACACATATTACAGAAAATTACGTAAAAGATAATAAAGAAATGGACCTAGAATTACATTGAAAATTAATATTTAGTGTGATTTTTAGCCTAAAAATAGATAAAACAATTCTTAGTTTTAGGTCAATTTGCAATAAAATTGGTTACTCTGGTAAAAACAGAATGAGAGATTATGATCTCAAATTTTGCACCTAAGATTTCTTTACAGATCTCCATTAAACTGAGTAAAAATCTCTAAAATAATATTTCCAGCCCCTAAAAACCTCAGTGTAGTCCTAACAAATAAATCAATGGATTCTCTAAGTGTATAACATCAAATAAAATACATACATGTGCCGTGTCATGACAAAACCAACGTAATGCGTTTGCGACCAGCATGGATCCAGAACAGCCTGCGCGTCCGCGCAGTCTGATCAGGATCCATGCTGTTCGTTATCAGTTTCTCCACTTGTAAAAGGGTTTGTAAGTAGAGAAACTGATAGCGAACAGCATGGATTCTGATCAGACTGCATGGACGCGCAGGCTGGTTTGGATCCATGCTAGTAGCAAACGCATAACATTGGTTTTGTTGTGATGCGGCTCATATGTATATATCTACACTGTGCAACCTATGCAAATCAACACCCTTTGAAGGAACAGAATATTTAGCTTACAGTCGTTGAGAGACGTTGCTGACTAGAGATGAAAAATTTAATGTGAAGTCTAAAATACTGTTGTTGTAAAGAGGTTTTTGTGCTATAGAGAGCAACAGTTAAAATTTCTTATACTTTGTTTATGAATGAAAAGGAATATTAAAATTAAACAAGACCCCCCCCCCCCCCCCCCCCCCCCAAAAAAAAAAAAAAAAAAAAAAAACCAACCAAAAAAAAAACCCACAAAGCAATCAAATATCAAAAATTATATAAGGCAACAACAATATTTATGTAAATATTAAGAGGTAACTTACGTATAGGACTTGGCATATGAACACCAGCTCCCCCTGTTCGAGGCATACTGTGACCAGCTATAGGTGTACCCTGTGCAAGTGGTTCCATCGGTAAGAACCGTACATTATGATCAGGTGATCTATCTCTACTGTACCCTGTTCCCTGTGGTGGAATAGGCGGACCTCCACCACCATCTCCTCCTCCACCCCTGTTGTAATACACTCTTCCAGTTGGACGGCTTGGAGATGTTGGGTAGGCAGGTAGGAAAACACGATCCGAGTTATAAGCAAGTGTTTGTGCGGGAGCTGTAAAGGCTGACCCACCAACCTGCACTCCTGGGGTCTGACCAAGTACCACAGCTGGTCCATTAGGATGTGTTGGTAATGGAGCAAATCCAGTCTGGTTGCCAGCATGTCCAGGTGTTTGTGTGGAACCGAATCCTTGCGGTTGTGTAGAACCATAAGCTGGTGCCTGGTTCCCTGTAAATCCTGATGCTGCTGAACTCTGAGGAGGAACACTGGTACCAGCACCTTGAAACTGACGAGGAGGGGGTGGTATTGTGTATCCAGGAGGAATCATATATCCTTGTGGAGCTGTGCCAGCTGGACCACTTGTGGGCTGGATACCTGGATGCTTCAATATGCTTGGCTGTGGCATTCCAGAAGAAACCAAGGGTTGACCTAATGACCCTTGACCTAGTGGTTGACCTATAGGTTGTCCTCTTGTTGGTGAAAGATTTGAAGACTGGTAAGCACTTGGTGCAATACCTGACTGAGGTCCAAGTGGGATCTGCTGAGGTCCCATATTGGAAGGGACCATAACTCCAGGTCCTGCCATCTGACCACCTGAGTAGCCTCCCATTTGACCTAAAGATGGAGCCACCATACTACCTGGTTGCATTACGCCCTCTGGAGTAGAGAAAGTGTTGACAGGTCCACTAGACATCTGAGGATGGTAAGCTTCTGGTCTCTGCAAGGGTTCAAACCCAATCTTTCTGTCAGTCTCTCTAGACCGATCCCTACCACCTTCTCTTCCTCTACTGCTCTCCCTTTCATGACCTCTTGTGCTACCTCTTTCTTTATCTCTCCCCCTCTCTTTACGACGACTACGACTGCTGCGTCCACTTCGACTCCTCTCTGAGTGACCATCACCTTCAGCATCTGCACCTTGAGTGTTGCAGAGAAAAACAAGGTGTTACCATAAAAAACACACCAAACAAATCATCCACCCAAGTGCATGCAGTGTGAATTTTACAAAACAATCAATTTAGCCTAATGATTAAGCACAAAAAATCTAGCAAAAACATTTTTGAGACTAGTAAGACATGTCTTAAGTTTGAAAGTCAATTTTATATTTTCATGAAAATTGAAAAAAATTTTTGTTCTTAATTTTAATTTACAAATACATAATAATTATAACAATTATATAAAAGTCTTATTTTATCCTTTTTCTTCCAAATTTTGAATAATTTGCAAATATGTTAATGTGTTCTTAATGAAATATATATTTAAATGCTTTGGAAATTGAATTATTAAAAAAAACATATATACATTCATTCTTGCTTTTTACTGCTCTGTATAATAATTATTAGTTCACATTAATTGCAATACCTATAGTACACCACTCAAATATGTGTATAATTATGCTAACAAAAACTGTCATATTTTTGTATTACCTTTAACATAATATGATATTTGTAAAATATTCACAATAAAATTATTAACAAACAACTTCTCTCAAGGAAACAGCAAACATTAATACAAGATCCGGTGCACTCATAAGATATTACCCAAACCTATAGATGCTCCTTATTTGCTATCTCCAAATATTGTGCAGAACTCAAAAGGATGTTTCTAACACTTACCTCTGTCAGAATAACGCTTCCCTGCTGACTGGCTTGGCCGTGATCTCCCAGCAGGCTGGCCACCAGGTGGAGTTCGAGCTTCCCGTTGGTCAGTGGCACCATGAGATGCACCTGGTATTGGGGATCCAGCACCATGTGGGCTTCCACCACTGCCCACACCAACCCCAACCCCCACACCTGTCCCCATGCTTCTTCCAAAACCAGGTGGGGCATAATTGGTACCCTGAAAAAAAATTGTACTATGAGCTAGATATTTATTGTAAATATAGTTATCTCCCTTGACATAACATTTGCAGATTTACCTGGTCATGAAATAAGAGAGTTGGACTAGTAAATAACTATTTATAACACATAAATAAAATATTTAAGCCATCATATACTTTACCTTATGAGATTTATACTCAACATCACTAATTCCGCGTCATCAATTATTTCACAGTAATGGCATATTTTCATGTGACCAGTGTTTAAATTGGTCAGAATTGACATACACCTAAACAACAAAGATTTTGTGCAAAATATTTTTTACGTAAAACAGAACAAAATTTTACAAATTTTTGCAAAAAGCAACAATAGTCCATTCAATTTTTGCATACGTCTGAAAAAATCATCATTTTCTAAATGTTCTTATTTGTTGAAAAAATAAATTTTGAGTTACAAAGTAAAAATAGTTTTAATATTTAAAATCAAGCAAAACAACATGTAGAACTTTTAGCTGAAACATGAAAAACCTGAAGTGTAACACCATTTCCATGATTTAAATGATGACATAACTGTTTTCAAAATGCCAATATGGGGATGTCGGGTCATTTAAATATTTTTCGAAAAAATGTTTTACCG